CTTTCTTTCTTTCTTTCTTTCTTTCTTTCTTTCTTTCTTTCTTTCTTTCTTTCTTTCTTTCTTTCCTTCCTTCCTTCCTTCCTTCCTTCCTTCCTTCCTTCCTTCCTTCCTTTTTCTTTTGGGCCTTCTGCTAATTTACAATAGTTTTAAACATTACACAGTTTATAGTTTATGTAATTATAAATACTAGATAGTTATATTTATTAGAAGGCAAACCAAGTATTTATATTTGTCCTAACTGCATGCTATATGGGAGTGCCTATTCTGAGTTTTTCCTCCCATGTTGCTTGTGCAAGTCAACTGTGGGCTCATCCAGGCAAAGTAGGAGTGAGTTTTGTCAGCACTCCCAATTTGCAAAACAGGTGTGCTGTTAAAACTTGCTCCAAACTTTGCTTCTTGTTTTGCTTGTGCAAGCTTCAGTGGGAGGTTAGAGTACCACAAACATCTGAGGATCTGTGTGATATATGAATCAAATTTGAATCATTAAAATAAGTGTAACGTTTAATGCCCAATCATAGTGCAAATATAGTAATTTCATTCGTGGGGAGCCATCATACAATTTTGTTTATTACTTTAGGGTATCATTGTCCTAAAAAGTTGGAGAATTCCTGATTATTAGAATGTTCCAGAGAAGGCACTGCTATTCAAATAAATAGCCTTTTTAGAAAAAAAATGATTATCAAAAGTGAAAGTTTTTAGCAATATGGACAGCATGCTACAAAACAAAGTTGAGGGTAGTTGAAGATCCTTGGGGGGGCAGGGGGTCTCCAAGGAACAATCTTATCCCAGTGGGATTATCCCACCCTAACTGTACCAGCAATAACAGGCATGCTGTGAACCCCATCAGCCAAGGAAATTCAGCCAGAGGGATCCAGAAACAGAGCGTTTTTTTGCTGTGGCACCTGCCCTCTGAAACATCCTGCCCCTCCAGATGAAAGCTGCCCCCACTCTTCTGGCCTTCTCAAAGGCTTGAAGACCTAGCTCAGCCAGTTGGTCTGGGGCTCTATTGTGGGAATGGCATCTTGGAGGCAGTTAAAGGATTAGTCAGACACCACCTCCACCCCATGCACACGTTACTCCCATCTTGGCTAATTGAGTTTTAACTGAATTTTAAATACAGGGATTTTAATTATTATTTTAAGATTTAATATCGTATTTTAATTATATGATTGTAAGCTGTCCAGAGCAAGATGTGTCACCTCAGCAAGATGAGTGGCATATAAATTTAACAAATAAAATCAACAATAAATAAAATCAACAATAAGTTTGTTATGACATACCAAATTACAAAGTAGCCAAATGCAGTTTAGCCTGTGTTGTGCAAATGTAGCTTGTGTAATTTTAGTATTTGGTGTGTTGTGTTGATTCACTGGTGCTTATGTGTGATATATGAGGTAATGAAACAGCAGGATTAAGATACAGCTGCAAACTCCACCAAAATACATTATGTCAAATAATCTTTACTTGTTCAAGTTTTCTCAGCAAAGGAGTGCCTGCAGTTCAGGAAGATTGTGTCTTTTAAGAGACTGATCAGCTACCATGACTCTGTCTTTGATCTACTATTGAAGGCTATCTGATTTTTTTCCTCCCATTTTTATTAACTTTCAGATTAAAAACATTAATTTCGGCTCAAGATGAATGTTAATTGTTGAGAAACTCTTAACAGAAGTTTATATATCCAAATTGCATTAGGTTTATTCCATATCAGTGCTCATTTATGATGATGATAGATCATATGTTTTGCTAGAGTTTTCATCATTACTTTCTGGTATATAGGGCAAGCTGTGTTGATTTATGACAGGTAAACTTGTTAGGGAAAAACAATAAAGAATCTTCTGGTAATTTATACATACAGATTGTCTTTGGTTAATGACAGTCTTGGAACCTGAATTTTTGTCACTAAGCAATGTATTTGTAAACTGTGATGTCACATGCAACTTTCCTTGTTCCTTTCCATGTTGACTTTGCTTGTAGGAAGCTGGCAGGGAAGGACACAAATGGCAATCACATGACTGCGGAGCACTGCAATCATCACAAGTGTGAGCTGGTTGTCAAGTGCCCAGGTTGCGATCGTGTGACTGTGGGGATGCTAGAACTTTAAGGACTGGTCGTATGTACTGCTCGTTCAGTGCTGCTGTAACTTCAAACTGTTGCTGAATGTCTGTAGCTAAATAACTGTTGTTAACTGAGGACTAACTATAACTTCTATTAGGGAATAATCTTCTGTACAGTCCACTTCATGTCACTGGATATGTGAATAAGTTTGTTTTTTAAAAAAATGAAAAGTAGCAAAGTCTTAAGTACGGTTTAAGTTAATTTGAGTTCTGCTGTTCAAACTCCCTAAATAGTGCAGCAATATGATGATAAAATATGACTTATATCTATCAATGTTCAGCTCCATTACTATCTTAAAACTTTGTCAGTCTTTTTTTTAAATTGCTATGCAAGATTATAGTTTTGTCCTGTGGTAGGTGGTGGAGGAAAACTGGAAAGGAACAGGTTTGTCAATCATAGCTTGCAATATTTTTTGTCAGTACCTCACCAAAACATGAAAATAAAAAGAACTGAAAGGTTAAAAACCTCAAAACATTAATAAACCCACAAAAGTAAACTTTAAAATGTTTTATTGTTTGGAAGTACACATACATTTATTGTTTGGAAGTACATATAAATTTAACAGAAAGAATTTAAACAAAATGATGACTTTTTAAGTATTATGTTTAATTTTATTTTTTAAAGAAACCTTCAGACTGAAAATAATGAGTCAACACGCTCTGAACCCTCCTCAGCTAAAACATTAATGGACATAGGAATTAGAAGGATCTTTTCTTCAGACCATGACATCTTCCGGCAAAGTGTGAGAAAATTCTTCCAGGAAGCTGTGGTACCATATCATGGAGAGTAAGTTAAATGCACAAAATCCCGTTTCTCATTTTCTCTTTCTCATGTTTGAAATAATCCTTGATTTTATGCCACTAGCCCTGGTGGAGAACTATAACATTAATGTAAGAGTTTCTATAGGGTTAATAACAGTGGTTTTCTCTGAAAAAAAAAGATTTTACTTTATGCATACACCCAGGCGCTATAGGCCCAATTACATTGCATTGTGTCTGCTGTCTTGAAAATGGGGGATGGAATGGAAAATACATTCACATTTAACGCTGCATCAAATTTAATTAGATGATATAAGGCAAGTTAACTAATCTTCTCAATTACATGAGCCTCACTGAATTAACAATTTATGTATCTCAGCAGACATCTAAACACACTCTGTTTCTCCAGTGATTGCTCAGCAGGAATTTGGAACCTTTTCTATAATGGCTCCAAAGGGCAGTGCTGATAAAAGTGGTTGAAATAATTTCAGAAGACTTTCCTCATCTTGTTTTCATTGAACTCTTGCTCAGCTGGGGGTGAGATCTGATTGGTGGAGGATTTTTTTGTATTCCAGTGATTTAAGATCAGTAAAGTGACGTGACTATGCAACTGGGATGTACTTTAACTCCAAACTGCTGTTTCTGCTAAGGCAAACATAGAGGTCATCATAGTGGATGATTTTAAAAATCTACTATTTTTTACATCATTTCTTTATATTAGGGGTAGCCTATGTTTAGCAGTAATTAGGGCTAGAATTTCTATTGCTAAATGATGTGGTCATAAAACGCAATATCATATGACTGCACTGCTTAGCTATGGCAATCCCAGCAGTTTCAAGCAAGTTACTATGAATTTAACAAATAACGGTATAAACTTGGCTTAGTCCAGTGGGTAAACTTGTCCAATGTATATAGTCTTTTTATGTATGCTGTATTCTAAATATCTTTTCCCCCAAAATAATCAATTTTGCATTTTTACTAAATAAATTATGAGAATTCCACAATTTTACTTGTTGTTTTTGTTTTTTGTTTGTAGATGGGAAAAAGCTGGTCAAGTAAGCAGAGAGCTCTGGGAAAAAGCCGGACAGCAGGGTTTGCTTGGTATCAATATATCAGAAGAAAATGGAGGCATTGGAGGGGATCTGTTGTCTTCAGCAATCGTTTGGGAAGAGCAGTATGTTTTTCTTTTCTTTCCTTTATAATATTTTCTTATAATTACTATTTTTTTCTCCTTATTTCCTCTGATAGCTATATCTTAAAATTTGGTCTTCATGGTGAAATAATTCATTGACAACAAAGGCATATTTTGAGTAAAGGCAAAACCTAAATTGGATAGGAATTTTCATGGTGATAAATTCACTAGTATTTCAAGAGCATTCTTCCACATTCATCTCCACTATAGTCACTGTTGCCACTTTACACAGACCTCTGCTGCTGCCTTTCTTCTCTCCTTTCCTTGGATCAGGATTTCCATCCTATGCAGGCATGATATTCCCCTCTGAAAAAAAAATCAGGGCCGGCCAAAAGAGACCCCGCGCCGCGCGCCAAGAAATCGCACACACAACACCAACGCTACACACCCTTCCTTTCCAGCTGGTCAGGTGTGGATCAGCTCCGGAGCTGGGCAGCCGCTTCCCTGGTGGCGGGGCCGAGGCTGCCGCCCGGGGAGCACCCTCTGCTTTCCCTCGCCAGGGCCGGGCGGTGACGTGTTGCCCTGCGCCGCGTGGCCCCCGCCTGGCAGCACGCTTCTCGGCACAAGGCAGCCGGGTTGCCCAAGGAGCCCGGCCGGCCAGGCGAGGGGAAGGCAGCGAGGACCCTGCCGGGCTGGGGCGGAAAACCCGCTTGCAAGGGGTTGGGGAAGCCTGTGGGCGGAGGACCAAGTGCACTGGGAGGCAGAGATTTGGCCAAGGCCGTCAGACAGAGAGACGGCTGGTCTGCTCTGGTGCCGCTGCTCTGTTGCAAAGCGCCGCTGCGGCTCTTCCTTTTTGCCTTTCCCTTCCCGAGGCAACGCGGGACTGGAGCCATGTGGAGCTGCGCCAGCGGTAGCAACTCCTGACTCGGGGCCTCCAAGGGGAGGGGAAGGAGGAGAAGAAGGGGGGGGGTTGATTCCCCCAAAAATCAGAATTCCGATTTTAATCGGAAGAATTTCATGTCTGCCTATGTTACATGCAAATACAAGATCCCAAAGTGGTCACAGAACAAACACCTCTCTCCTTTTTTTCTTGGCATCGGTCCCTTCATTCTGCCATAAGCAGCTGAACTCCTTTCTCATCACTCCACAACATTTTCCCTTTTGCAATCCATATTGGTCTGCTAGCAACGAAAACTAGGAGTTTATCTTGCATTATAGAGACAGATATAGGCAAGAAGTATGAGTTTCAGAGAAAGTTAAGGAGATTGATTTAATAAACAAAAGCAAGTGTTATTGGATAAGAAAGACTGGATGGTCATAATCAACACTGGGTGTTTGACTCCATCCTTTGTTTGTCTCCCTTTCATTTCCAAGCCAAAGCAATAACTAGATTTTTCATTCTTTTCCTTGCAATCTTAAATCCTTAAAAAAACAAACACAGCTGAAGATATTTCCCTCACTAAATCCATCCAAACACTTGTTCTTAAGCTGAAAAGTATTTGTGCATAACACATTTGGTCACATTTGGTTTTAAGTTAGTGTGAGTGTGAATCAAGCCATGGTGGCTTGTATGTTGTGGAATTGACTATTTTACTAGAGGCCTTAAACAAAAAGAATCTTGGAATAGAATGCAAAACCTGAGCGGAGATGATATAGCAACACCAAACGGCAAAGATCACAGTGAATGGAACTCTTTCCACAAGTCTTTCAGTTTGCGAAGGCTCAAGACAAGGATGTTCATTCTCCCTTTTACTATTTGTAATTGCACTGAAAGTCTTAGCCAACAAGATCTAAAAAGATAAGTTGATAAACAGGAGCAAAATTCATGGAGGGGAGCACAAAGTGAAATGTTATGTTGGTGATACAGTGCAATTATGAAACCACTAAGTTCAATGTTTGGGAGATTAAAATTGAAAAATATGCAGCAATGGAAAAATGGACCGTATATTCTTAGCAGTAATCTAACCAAATAAAAGTAGGAATGCTTCCATAATATACAGCATGACACACAACAAGGCAAGCTGTGTGAGTTCAAGCTCAGTTACTTAGGATATGGTTTCTGAAGAAAAAAGTACTGTTTCAATTTTTTTTAGCAATTTTCTGAATTTTGCACTATATGCAATGCTAGCACGTGTAGTGGTGAGAATTTATATGCACTATGATTCAGCTGCCATTCCAGCCTGACAATTTGCTGTTGTAGATAATGTAAAATATGCATTGTATAGATTAGAAGTGATTGTATTGTTTCATACTTTTTGCATTTTTTATGCGAAGGTTTCCTAAGATCTAAACATTATTTCAAGGGTCCCTCCAGGTTGAAAGTTTGGAAAAAAAAGCTGATCTAAAATATGACATTGTAAGACTAATTTGATAATAATTTTCTTCTTTGTAGTTGAAGAAAACTCAGGTACAGATCTGGTTTGATGGTTTTTTGATATTTTCCCTTTCCAGGATGTATGCTAATTGTTCAGGCCCAGGATTTAGTCTTCATTCTGATATTGTGATGCCTTATATAGCAAACTATGGTTCAAAAGAGCAGATTAAAAGGTTCATTCCAGAAATGGCAGCAGGCAGATGTATTGGTGCAATAGCTATGACAGAACCTGGAGCTGGAAGGTAAGCACGCTCTTTAAGAATGCAGTCTTTGGCATACATTTTAGTTATTAATTCTCACTGAGGCAGACTTGTGAGCATTAATAAGATCCCTAATAAATTTTCCTAGCAGGGTGCAAATGTGATAGGTTGCTTGTGCTCCTCCCCACTACCACATTGCAATTCCCAGAACAACCCAAGATTATAAAGCGGTGGATTATACCAAAAATATGTGGAACTATACTTCCATTTATCTCCTTTAACCCTCCATAGCTTGCAAATGAGCCAAGAATAGACTCCCAAATTTTGCAACAAACTGGCAAATTCCTGGCACAAAAATGAAAAATTATGCTGGAGATGAGTTAAGCCAATGCAAGGCCAAATATTTCATTTCCAGCCCTAAAACCCTCTGAACAGTCAAAAATTTAAAACAATTGGACCAACTTGCTTGGGTTCCACTATCTTTAGAGATGTTAGCAGCAGGCTTCCTATTGTCTTGTAGTGATACTGGAAGTTGAGGGTCTGAAAAATATTGCCTTCCCTTTCTACATAAAGTCTAAAGTTGGTGGGCATTCTGGTCAGTACAAAATTCTGGATGGAACTGTGAACCAGGAAGACAACGTTTTCTATTTCCTATTTTCACAGTAGAAACATTGGATGGAGCCCAAGTTTGTTCCTGATAAATGCAGCCCAATGTACCAATCCCAAGCTTGGTAGTTTCTTGCAAGTTGTGAAACATGTTCTTATGTATGCATTCAATCCACAATTATTTACTCCAAAATAATTTCGGGGGACAGGGGAGGTGTTGATGTTCTTAAAATCTTGCAGCATTTCAACTGAGGATGCCAACATTTTTAAAGTATTAATGATCTCACAAAATTACTTTTTATCAAATGTATATGATTTTTTTTAACTTTGGAGACTTGCAGGTCCCATACATCCCCACAGGCACTGTGTGGTCAATCCCCAAGTTCTGTGATTGCCTTCAGATTTTTTCAATAAGTGTAAAAGGCCTTCATCAAAGAAAAAAATTAGAATCACTGTGGGAAGTCATTTGCAATTCCTCTTTAGGCTGGGAGACTTTAAACATTGTGCGTTTGCTATGTTGCATTAGTAAGAACTATTTTCTTCTTAGTGATTTGCAGGGTGTGAAAACATTTGCAAAAAAGGATGGCAGTGATTGGATTCTAAATGGCAGTAAGGTATGTGATACATTCTTTTAATTTTAGTAAACTTGGCCATTTTAGTAAACATAGCCATTTAGTAAACGTAGCCATTTGAGATCAGTGCTGAGAATTATGGAGTTGGTATTCTACAACTTTTTAATCAAGCAGTGCCAGGTCATCACCTTTTCCATTTTGGACGAGGACTCCTGCTGCCAGAGTAACATGGTGACTGTACAGCATGACTCGAAATCTCAATCAACTTAGCAAGTGCTTTTCTGTCCTTCTTTTGTTGGGGAACATTATAAAACCATCTGAAGAATTTGGCCTTTTAATGCTGTAACATGACTAGTCTGCAAAGGGTAACCATTGCTCAGATATTTCACAGCTTAAAAGAATTGGCAGGAGAATGGCCTCCCTGGTAGAAATTGCCTGGAGAGACCAAAGAGGCAAATAAAAACTTGACTGTAGGGGCATATATAAAAGGGGAAAAAATGTTGTCTCCTCCTGGTGAGTGAGTATATTTAGGATTCAGAGAAAATGTCAAAATGGATACTGCTAAATGCAATTGTTGTTTACAAATTGCAGGATAGTTTTGTTTAAATTGCTTTTATTTTTCTTTGATAAGATTGTTCAGGAGACCAAGAAGGAAAATTGTCTACCAGTTGATAGTACATTTTTGCTATCAATTGGTAGTACTGTTGTTATAAAATTACCAATTTTACAAGTGTTGTGAAAATAAAATAGATTGGCTTATGTATTTGAGATTTGAGATTCAGACAGAAAGCTGATAGGGTGCAATCATATATACAGGTGAAAGTCAAAAATTAGAATATCGTGCAAAAGTTCATTTATTTCAGTAATGTAACTTAAAAGGTGAAACTAATATATGAGATAGACTCATTACATGCAAATCAAGATGATTCAAGCCGTGGTGTGTCACTGTGATGATGATGGCTTATAGCTCATGAAAACTCCAAATCCACAATCTCAGAAAATTAGAATATTACATGCAATCAATAAAACAAGGATTGTACATAGAACAATATCGGACCTCTGAAAAGTATAAGCAAGCATATGCACTCAGTACTTGGTTTGGGCCCCTTTTGCAGCAATTACTGCCTCAATGTGGTGTGGCATGGAAGCTATCAGCCTGTGGCACTGCTGAGGTGTTATGGAAGACCAGGATGTTTCAATAGCAGCCTTCAGCTCTTCTGCATTGTTCGGTCTCATGTCTCTCATCTTTCTCTTGGCAATGCCCCTTAGATTCTCTATGGGGTTCAGGTCAGGCGAGTTTACTGACCAATCAAGCACAGTAATCCCACGGTCATTGAACCAGGTTTTGGTGCTTTTGGCAGTGTGGACAGGTGCCAAATCCTGCTAGAAAATGAAGTCAGCATCCCCATAAAGCTTGTCTGCAGAAGGAAGCATGAAATGCTCCAAAATCTCCTGGTAGACAGCTGTGTTGACCCTGGACTTAATAAAGCACAGTGGACCAACACCAGCAGATGACATGGCTCGCCAAATCAACAGACTGTGGAAACTTCACACTGCATCTTGCAGTGTGTGCCTCTCCATTCTTCCTCCAGACTCTGCGTCGTTGCTTTCCAAATGAGATGCAAAAGTTGCTCTCATCAGAAAAGAGGACTTTGGACCACTGAGCAACAGACCAGTTCTGTTTTTCTTTAGCCCAGCTAAGATGCTTTTGACGTTGTTTGTTGTTCAGGAGCGGCTTGACAAGAGGAATACGACATTTGAAGCCCATGTCCAGGATCCGTCTGTGTGTGGTGGCTCCTGATGCACTGACTCCAGCCTCAGTCCACTCCTTGTGAAAGTCCCCAACACTTTTGAATGGCCTTTTCCTGACAATCCTTTCCAGACTGCAGTCATCCCTGCTGCTTGTACATCTTTTTCTTCCACACTTTTCCCTTCCACATAACTTTCTATTAATGTGCTTTGATACAGCACTTTGGGAACATCCAACTTTTTTTGCAATTACCTTTTGAGGCTTTCCCTCCTTATGGAGGGTGTCAATGATGGTTTTCTGCACAACTGTCAGGTCAGCAGTCTTTCCCATGATAGTGCTTCTTGCTGAACCAGACTGAGAGACTATTTAAAGGCTCAGGAACCCTTTGCAGGTATTTTGGCTTAATTAGCTGACTAGAATGGGACACTTTGAGTCTAGATTATTGAATCTTTTCACAATATTCTAATTTTCTGAGATTGTGGATTTGTGGTTTTCATGAGCTGTAAGCCATAAGCATCTCAATTATGACAAATCATGGATGGAACTATCTTGCTTTGCATGTAATGAGTCTATCTCATATATTAGTTTCACCTTTTAAGTTGTATTACTGAAATAAATGGACTTTTGCACGATATTCTAATTTTTTGAGTTTCACCTGTATATGATTTGTAAAATGTTTACTTTTTTTGACAACATAAGGATTTTTGCAAAAGTTTACAAATTTAAATTCAAGTAACACAAAATGGGATAAAAATATTAGAGTTGATCTATATTTTATATCCTTTCACCTACATGTAATTTAAAATGACTAGAAAGAGGAATGAAGCAGGCCAACTTTTCATGAGTCATTTAACACATGATATATTCCAAAGTTATAACCAAATCTTAAAGTAAGAAAATAGTGGAACAAGGACTCATCTCCAATCTCAGTTTCCTATCATATCCAATTTTAAAATTTAATAAATTCTGTAATTGGTTCATTCATTTTTCCATAATGATTTCTTCCATCAATTCAAAGTAAAAGTATGGACTACATAATGCAGAACTGCAGGTGGAGAATGGGGCAGAGAAGGTTTTAGTGGATTCAGTATAAGGAAGAAATATTGAAAACATTAAATTTCAACACATATTCCTATCTACTACTTCGCTAAGTAGACCTCTGGAAAGTGAAAACAATGTCGATAAAGAAGGCACTGCAAATATTCCCAAAATAAGGGAATGTGATTTTCACTAAATAAATCCACCTTAGTATTATATACCTTGAGAAAAATGCTTGACATCGATATGGTATGATTTATTTATTTACTGTATTTATATTCTACTCAAATCAATTCTGGACAGTGAACCACACAACTAGTATATACAGTTAAAGACATACTACAGTGTCCAAGCAAATTAAAATTAAGTGTTCAAGAAGCACCAGGACAAACTAAAGGTGAAATACCCACTGGAGTAACAGAGTTTTAATTTGCCTCCTAAATGCAAAGAGGGAGGGAGATATCCTCTTTTCTGGGGTAGGGTGCTCCGAAGAATAGGGGCCAACACTGAGAAGGCCTGTTGTGATCCACTCACCATAGATCTTTCAGAGTATGACTGACCCCCAATTGGCCCCTCTAAGTGTTTATACTGGCTGAGCAGGTTCTATTCTGGCATGATTTGTATAACATAATCTGGTGCCAGTGCTGTTAGGGGCTTTCAAAGTAGTCATCAGCACTTCAGCTGGACTCAAAAGCTAATAAGCAGCCAGGATAGCAATTCTACTGTAATTAGATTATATTGTCAGGAACTTTGCCAATACATGTTGAATTAGTTGTAGCTTCTGAGTGATCCCCAAATGATCAGGGCATCAGACGCTATTTCTAGATATCCTGTTCAAGGTGCATATTTGTCATAGCAGCCAAAATTGAGGAAAGGCCCTCATTTATTTGATCAGGGATAAGATAATGGGTTGCTATTTGGAAGGATATTTAACAGCATCTTCATTAAGATTGGATGATAATGGTTAATGCTGGTTTAATTATTTTTTGAGTGGGACTGATTACAAAGAGAGGAAATGGGGATTTTTTTTCCGATGGAAAGGAAGGATTCAGACTGGGTGTAATAAATATAATTTGTAATATGTCTTAATATTTATATTTCTAATAACCCTTACTGGACTTTTACTGCTTAATAGAAAGAGATGAGTTTAAAGAGATGGATATATAGAAATTGGAGTAAGGAATGAAGTATGGAATGAAGAGATGTTTGGTTGCATTTTAAGAGAGAGTGATAAGGTTTTTAATGTTGATTGTGCTTGGTGGGGATGAAGGGTGAGGGCTTCTTTTCCATTTTTCTTTTTCTGCTTGTTGGAAATATGTGGACCCAATAAGCTTTAGAGAGAATTAATGTTTTGCATTCTTATTATCACTGTGTAGGCTCAGACATGAGCTTCTATCGGTTTTCATTTGTGTCCACTTCTGGTTTTATGCCAGCATCATTCCAGGAATCTCTTTCATTTCCCTTAGCTCATCAGTAAACTGCTCACTGTAGCGAATAAGGAAGATGACCTTGCTGGATATATGCAGAAACTATTACTTAAGCAAAAGTATTACTTTTTAAGCAAAACTATTACTTAAGCATTTTAGAAGTCCAGAGCAAAGTTGGCTTTTGGAAGTGGCCCAGACTAATGCCTGCCTAATTCACTGGGATATAAGAAAGGGGAGGAAATGCAGCTCAACCAGACTTTCAAAACTCTGTAGTATACCAAAACTTGATAAACATTCTTTTAGCCTTCCTCAGGAATTGATTCCCTGGTTTGCTTTGTATGGTGCGGCTGACACTCACTGGGATTGTAACTGGAGAGAAGCCATGCTGGGGCAATTGTACATCTCTGGATTCCACAGGCTGAGCAGGCATGAGACAAAACTGCCCACCAAATTGTTGGGAATCCCCTCTGGAGCTCCCTGGAAACCATCTGGATCCATTAAATGCCTTGGCAATCCAAAGTAATGGGTCTGCCACTCTTTCTGAGTTTCAAGTCAGCTGAGATTTTCACTTTGACAAGGAAGTGATCTGACCATGGTAAAGAGCAACTATCCATCCAAGTATATTCAGATGTCTTATCTGCACTAAACTAAAAACCAGGTCTGATGTGTGCCCAACCGTATCATCAAGGCCACAATTACCTATGGTAAGTTTGGAGGTCACAAACTTATATATTATGCTTCAACCCTCCTCTGAGTTTGGAGGTTGAAATCCCCCAGGAGGAACAGCCTTGGAAACTACTACTGGTCTGGAGACAATGTCATTGTGCTCAAATTTAGAAGAGCATATGGTGTTATCTGTTGATAAACATGTGTGAAATACTGACACAGAAATTAATGTCCACCTCATCTGTCCAAAATTAGTTGCCTTTGATTTCTGTGTCATTTGGAATGCACTGGAAAGCAGTTAATATGTGATACAAAAAAGTTACTGATTTCATTGGATGAATAGGTGCTAAGCTTGTTGAGCAGTTTGGTGGAATGGATAGGACACCATGATATAAATCAGGAGGCCATAAAATCTAGTTCTACTCTAGTCACAAAGCCACTGGGTGACCTTGTGCGGTTACTCTTTCTCAGTGTTAGCAAGCAGGTAAGGGCAAATCACTTATGAAAATTTGGCAAGAAAACTGCAAGGGAGTAGTTCAGGCAGGCACCAGAAATCAAGACTGACAACAAAAGACATCAAAATAAATAAATGAATATATAGTTTGTAGTAGTTAAAGGGTTGGATTATGTGTGCAGAAAACCTGGTTCTGGTCTGCCCTCAGCCCAGAAGCTCCCTGGATGACTTTGTGCCCTTTGCTTTCTTAGCCCAGTCTTCCTCAAAGCAGCAGTGTTGTGGGGGAAATGGGAGGAGGAGGACTATGTATGTTGCCTTGAGCGGCTAACAGAAATGTGTGATATACTGTAAATAAATAAATATTTTGTTTTCTTGGAACATGCAGTAAGATTGTGTATTAGCAAGAACTTTTTTTTTGCTTCAGACAATTATCTGAAGAAAATTTTGGTGTTGCTAAAATGAGGACGATATATGCCCCAGTGGAGTTTGACAATGGAGCTAAAATAATCTAAATGTGTCTGGTTGCTATTAATTGATGTTAATTGCTTAATTAAAGCAGAATCACAGTATGAGATTTTTGAATAGAAGTAAAATTTAATGGGAAAAACTAGAATGGATGAAAGGTGGGGTTTTTTTTGCATAATTGTTGTTTTACATTGTGATTTATTATCTGGTTGACTGAAATCCATGGTGGCAATCCAAAATTATGACTGAGGTAGTGTGGCTGTTTTGCATTGCCAGCCTAACTTATAAATATACTGAGAAGCAATCTTGTTGACTGTGATACTAGTTTACCTCAACTGTACCAGCTTTGCCACATTTCTTTTGTTTACTGAAGAGCATTTGAAACACCACCACTTTTTATGTATGATTACTTTGGTACTGTGGCAACCAGATAATTTTGTAAGGGTTCTACCAGTGATGAGATTCAATTTTTTTTACTACCGGTTCTGTGGACATGGCTTGGTGGGCATGGCAGAGGAAGGATACTGTAAAATCTCCAGTCAGAGGTGGTATTTGCTGGTTCTCCAAACTACTCAACATTTCTGCTACCGGTTCTCCAGAACTGGTCAGAACCTGCTGAATACCACCTCTGGGTTCTACCTAAAAATAGAGGGAGGGAATCTTTTAGGTTATCTTTGAGTGTCTTTTCTGTGACTTCAAAGGGTGATTATTTAAACTGGAAAACTCACCTCAAAGTAAGAAATGAATTCAAGAACTAATAAGGAATGGCAGACTTTAGGGGATTAAGTCCTTAATAGGCAAAAAAAAACCAATTACAAAAAAACAATTCAAGTATATCTCTCTGGGTTGTTGCAGGTATTTATTACAAATGGCTGGATGTCGGATTTGGTTATTGTTGTGACTGTTACAAACCGTGAGGCCCGTTCCCCTGCTCATGGAATTAGCCTTTTCCTGGTAGAAAATGGTATGAAAGGCTTTGTTAAAGGACGTAAGCTTGAAAAAATAGGACTTAAAGCACAGGTAAGTCCCAGATAATTGCTCTACTAAGTATGGGTAGTAAACTCAATAGAAATATACACTGCTCAAAAAAAATAAAGGGAACACAAAAATAAGACATCCTAGATCTGAATGAATGAAATATTCTTATCAAATACTTTGTTCATTACATAGTTGAATGTGCTGACAACAAAATCACACAAAAATTATCAATGGAAATCAAATTTAGCAACCCATGGAGGTCTGGATTTGGAGTTACATTCAAAATTAAAGTGGAAAAAAACACTACAGGCTGATCCAACTTTGATGTAGTCCTTAAAACAAGTCAAAATGAGGCTCAGTAGTATGTGTGGCCTCCACATGCCTGTATGACCTCCCTACAATGCCTGGGCATGCTCCTGATGAGGTGGCGGATGGTCTTCTGAGGGATCTCCTCCCACACCTGGACTAAAGCATCCCCCCAACTCCTGGACAGTCTGTGGTGCAACATGGCGTTGGTGGATGGAGCGAGACATGATGTCCCAGATGTGCTCAATTGGATTCAGGTCTGGGGAACGGGCGGGCCAGTCCATAGCATCAATGCCTTCGTCTTGCAGGAACTGCTGACACACTCCAGCCACATGAGGTCTAGCATTGACCTTGCATCAGGAGGAACCCAGGGCCAACCAAACCAGCATATGGTCTCACAAGGGGTCTGAGGATCTCATCTCGGTACCTAATGGCAGTCAGGCCAGCTCTGGCGAGCACATGGAGGGCTGTGTGGCCCCCTAAAGAAATGCCACCCCACACCATTACTGACCCACTGCCAAACCGATCATGCTGGAGGATGTTGCAGGCAGCAGAACATTCTCCATGGCATCTCCAGACCCTGTCACGTCTGTCACATGTGCTCAGTGTGAACCTGCTTTCATCTGTAAAGAGCACAGGGCACCAGTGGCGAATTTGCCAATCTTGGTGTTCTCTGACAAATGCCAAACGTCCTGCACGGTGTTGGACTGTAAGCACAACCCCCACCTGTGGATGTCGGGCCCTCATACCACCTTCATGGGGTCTGCTTTTGACTGTTTGAGCAAACACATACACATTTGTGGCCCACTGGAGGTCATTTTGCAGGGCTCTGGCAGTGCTCCTCCTGTCCCTCCTTGCACAAAGGTGGAGGTAGCGGTCCTGATATTGGGTTGTTGCCCTTCTATGGCCTCCTCCACGTCTCCTGATGTACTGGTCTGTCTCCTGGTAGCGCTACCATGCTCTAGACACTACACTGACAGACACAGCAAACCTTCTTGCTACAGCTCCATCCTGGATGAGCTGCACTACCTGAGCCATTTGTGTGGGTTGTAGACTCTGGCTCATGCTATCACTAGAGTGAAAACACCGCCAGCATTCAAAAGTGACCAAACCATCAGCCAGAAAGCATAGGAACTGAGAAGTGGTCTGTGGTCACCACCTGCAGAACCACTCCTTTATGGGGGATGTCTTGCTAACTGCCTATGCGTTCCACCTGCTGTCTATTCCATTTGCACAACAGCATGTGAAATTGATTGTCTATCAGTGTTACTACCTAAGTGGACAGTTTGATTTCACAGAAGTGTGATTGACTTGGAGTTACATTGTGTTGTTTAAGTGTTCCCTTTATTTTTTTGAGCAGTGTATTTCAACTATCCATTAGATAGCAAGCTAAATATATTTGGCAAATGGCTGCAGAAGTTTGTGTCCTAATCTTAATGGTCCCCATAACAGTGTTTTTCACCTACTGAATGCCTGCCTGTGAGCTTTCTCTTAATAAGCTATGGAACCCAACATGACTTCTCCGCTGGATCCAGTGGTAGGAAGATTTGGCTACTCATGGCTTTGCTCCATTCAAATATAGAAAAGGGAGAGGTAAGGGGAGGGGAGGGGAGGAGAGGAAAGGAGAGTGAGTGCATTCAAAAAGAAGTGCAGGATATTTTATCACTCAAAGGTGGAGGACAAGGGCTTGGGTTTTTGGGAAAATAAAGCAAAGATGTAGAAATACTAATTGCCTTCCATGTCCTATCTGTGATAAAATGAGATTTTTTGCGTCCTTCATTATAAGACAACAGAATAAATACAAAGTAGAACAAAGATTGATTTCCACTATTATATGTTACTTAGACCTTGGAATTTGGCTATGGAAAGTAATCACATTGGTAAGTGCTTACTCCATCTATTTTAATGTGTTTGTGTGCCCATGGCACTTCTTTAAGAGAGAAACATTATGATACAGGGTTTAAGGTACACTGGCAAATATGTGACTCTGTTATTTAAAATTAGGACACGGCTGAGCTATTTTTTGAAGATGTCCGCTTGCCTGCCAGTGCACTACTTGGCCAGGAGAACAAAGGTTTCTATTATCTAATGTCAGAGCTTCCTCAGGTAAGACAGACATGGAACTATGCTGAGATATGAAACCATATCAAAGAATAACACAAAGGACTTATTTGTCATTGCAACTATCTGCTAGCAACAGATTATGCTGGAGGACATTTAAGCTTCTATGCAAGATGTTGACAGCTATCACTTACTGATTTCAGGGTGGAAATTTTGCACCCAGAATTGCATTGTTATTTTCTCTTTCAGGGCTTTAGCAGCTTTTATATAACATGATGTAATATGTGTGAGAGAGATTTGGGGAATATACTTAGCAACGTTAATATTTCAATATTAAAATATGTATCAGATCTCATTCCTGTTCTGTAACTATTGTACAGATACTTATAGAAGCAAACCCTGCTTTTTATTAGGGCCTTCCCCTGTCTTTCTTTTCCTCTTTCTATGGGAATCACTGCCTTAGTGCTCTCTTTGTGGACTTCAGTAATAGAAACATGAAGTCTGTGTAATGTCAGGAAAAGCTATCTCCCTGTCATTAGCTTTCAAAGGGGAGGAAATTGAAGGTTTAGGAGGCTGCAGTTGAGCCTGTCTTGAATCCAAAGCAAGACATATTTGAAAACTCCAAAGGAGAGGTGGTAATTTATTTTAGCATTTTTTTCTCTGGTAGAATGTCTCACCCCCATCTCACAGGTTACACTTTCTGTCACCAATTTAAAATACAAAGTTATTGAAAACAGTTAAAAAGGGCCCTTTTCTCTCAGTACCTACAAAAATATAATTAATTATTCAAAATATTTCACTTCACTCAGTTCTATTTGGGTAGGTATTTGTCTACATTGTTTTTGTTTTCCTCTCTAATAATTTTTTTCCTGGAAGGGGTATAATACTGGAAGTGCCTTTTGAGTATTTCTATCTGAATCTTTCCTTTGGGAGTATTATTTTCAGGATATGATTTATATTTTCATGTAGAATGCCAACCATATTCAACAGTTCAAGAGGTTCATATGCATTTACACAGTAGCACTAGGTAGAGAGTCAAAGTTGACTCAATATCATGTACATTTCAAGTCTGTTGGCTCCTCACTCCTGACTTCCATATGCTGATCAAAACTTCTGCATACCACAATCACAGATTCATCTCTCAATTATTTTAGTACCTATTCAAAATATGTCCACATTGGGCTGTATATTCATTAACCTGCAAACAGGCTGAATTTCAGACTGGTATCTTAAAATAGCAGTACCAGTTAAGAGCAATTTTGAATTTTTCCACCATCCATAAAGATTACATATTTTTACCCTGCATAAAATGTATGTTGATGTTACAGGCCAGAATATTAAATATTACAATTGCATCTGGGGCAAGTCAAATTATTTGAGAGCTTTTCTTTCCTGTTAACATTTAACATACCAGACACAAAAGTGGACTCAAAGCAGAAATTAAAATCTACAGTTGATGTAATTAACAAGGCTGATTTAGACCTATATACATCTTTATAAACCAGAAAGGTTTTTAAAGCCAGAGACACAAAGACGAGGACGATACAACAGAAGAATGTATAGAGAAATAATGATATTTTTTTCCATTTAATAATGAACATGTCTGAGAATGTCTTCTCCCCCTTCTCTGTCAAGGAAAGGCTCTTGATCGGTGATATGGCGATTGCTAGCTGTGAATTCATGTTTGAAGAAACAAGAAGTTATGTTAAACAACGAAAAGCTTTTGGGAAAACAATTTCACATTTACAAGTAAGAACTTGAGAATATTTGTTTCCTCAGTAATATTTTTAAATTTGAAATCCTTTTGTTTTTGTCCATTTGGGGTGCAAACCTGGTTGCCTGATCATCTGATGAAAAATTTACATCTAGAAATCTTCCTTTTGATTTCTAGCTGAGGGCCCCTGTTTGCCCTTATGGTTTCTAGGACTCCTGGGGTTTTGTTTTGTCCCATGTATGCAGATTATATCCAGCTTTTTGTTCTTTTAGAAAATGACTTGGAGACACTCTGAAGTTTCTCAGTTTATCATTTTAAAATAGAAATATTCCTATGAAGTGCATTGTTATATCTGATCCTTATGCATTAGACTAACAGCTAAAAAATAAATAGATGGATTGCTGATATTTTGAAAGGAGGTTGAAAGCCAGAATTATATCCTTTCTTTGCAAGCATGCCTTAAATACCTCCTGGTGCTAGGTATTATAATTGCTGAGGGTGGAAATCTATGTTTATAATTCTGTATAATAACACTTTCATTTCTAGATTTCTTAGGGATGGGGAGAAGGCTTTAAGCCAGTTTATAATATCAATATGTGTGTGGACTTACTTTCTTTTACAAATTCTTGACTCAGAAAAGCAGAAGAAATCCAATTTCAGAAATAATTAGTAGTTTTCAGACACTCCTGAGGTGTTCTTTGGGGAAATGAATAAGGGAGGCAGCTGCACTTCCTTTTGAAACATGCTCAGTAAAAATATTTTTCAAAAGAAAAATGATTTATTACTTTTTGATGAACTTGTTGGAGGGAAGAATGCATATTAAATAGGAAATACATTGGGAGACAATGAGAATAGCTGGTCAGAACAACATGGGGGAGGAGATGGGACTGAGCAGAGCACAGTGCTAGAGGGGAGTTGGATAGCAGATAAAAGCAGAGATAGAGGAAAAGTTAGCTGTATAAAATTGCTCTTCATATGAAATTAATTCAATTTTATAAGTATAATAGGAAAAAAGAAAAATAAATACTGATGTTCTTTCTAGGTACAAAGCTGATGTACTATCAAGATTAATTAGAAATAAAATGCTTTTGTTCATGATCAGTTTTACTGACCTGGTTAAAATTTACAGTTATAAAGCTTTTGTGTTGCTAAACTAAAGTTAAACTAGGATTTTGAAAAAGATTCATTATTATTACCATTGGTGATACTGAATAATACAACAGTCTTCATAGAGATAACATTCTTTCACAGTCTAATATATAACTAATACTGTACCTACTGAAGTAAGAAAGAATTGTGGTGGGGTTCCGCTCCGCATCAAATAAAGGCAGTCCTTGACTTACAACCATTCATTTAGTAACCGATCAAAGGTACTATGGCACTGAAAAAAGTGACATGATCATTTTTCACATGATCTTTGCAGCATCTCTATGGTCACATGCTCAAAATTCAGATGCTTGGCAACTGGCATCTATTTATGATGGTTGCAGTGTCCAGGGTCATGTGATCTACTTCTATGACCTTCTGACAAGCAAAGTCAGTGGGGAAGCCAGATAATGTGTTACTAATATAACAACTACAATGTGATTCACTTAATAACTCCGACAAGAAAGGTTGTAAAATAGGCCAAACTCACTTAACTGTCTTGCTTAGCAATGAAAATTTTGGGCTCAATTGTTGAAGACTACCTGTAAGTATTAAGGATTAAAATGTTTTTTCACATAGTTTCAATGTGATTAAAATATCACTTTGCTTTGGGCCAGTGAATATATTTTAAATTTTGAATTTCTATGGACATTATATTTGAACATAAAACATAAAAGAGTAGTTTTTGCAAAATATTGCCAACTATTATGGAGATATAATTGGGATGTTCATAATGTGTTGCAAGTATTGAAAGATAACACATTGTATCTTTTTTCAATTGGAAGACTGTGCAACACAAGTTAGCAGAATTGAAAACACAGATTTGTGTAAGTCGGACATTTTTGGATAATTGTATTGATCTTCATTCACGGAAATGCCTGGATTCTGCTACTGCATCTATGGCCAAATACTGGTATGTCTGTTAAATAAGCATTTAATGTCATATGTATGTTCTCAAAATCTGAACAGTGACAATAAATATAAACTCATACTGTACTCAAGAATTGTAGGAACAAAAACCTTCTGCAGAAAATTCAAATAGGTTACCCTATTTTCAGTTCTATTTTGTTGCTTTCACTCACAATATATGTCAGTATATACAGTATGCATAAGGGGCCTTAACTGAGCACTCTTGGTTTTGCTTTAAACAGAATTTCATTAGAATCATAGCTGGAAGGGATTATAGTAATAATCCTATCCACTCCCTATTCAATACAAAATCCATCAGAGCATCTCTAATACATGACCGCTCAGCCTCTATAGAAGGACTTTAGTGAAAGAGTAACCACTATATTGTGTGGCAGCCTCTTTCACTGGCTGACAACTTGTGCTCTGAAGAAAATCCTTCCAATGTCTAGTGTAAAACTCCTTCCTTGTTTTTTACCCATTGGTTCTGGTCTTGCCCACTGGAGCAATGGAACATAAGTCCATTCACTTTTCTGTACGTTGGAACTTCAGGTATTTGAAGATTGCTTTCGTATCTCCCTTGGCTGTCTTTTCTACAAGTGAAACGTATCCAGATTATTGAACTGTTTCTCAGTTTGATTTCCAGACTTTTCACCTTCTTGGTAGCCCTCCTGTTCCAATTTATCATTGTCTTTTTAAAATTATGGCATCCCGAACAGCACTCAGTATTCCAAATGGGTCTGATTAGGGCAGATGATCAAACCTGATGCCTCTATTTATGCATCCCAACAAAGCATCTTTTTTAGCTGTATCTCACTCTGAACCCATGTTTTACTTGATACCTTTGTAAAAATTAAAATAGATTTCTCCCATTAATAAGGAAGTGGAACATGAAAACTTAGATTTGCTGATATGTGTAGACATGAACTTTTAAAGTGGAGTCGTTAACATGCACGTTTGGCCTATGATCTCTCACTCACACATTCATAGACTGTTGAGGCTCATGAATCTAGTAAGCTACCCTTGCTTTCCAGATAGGTGTGGCTAAAGAAGACACACAGCATTTGCCAACAGCTGGGAAATAATTAGAAACACACACAAATCACTTTCAAACACTGAGATGCATCAAATTCTTTGGTATACAGGTAATCCTTGACATATGACCCTTCATTCAATGATAGTTCAAGGTTACAATGGTGCCAAGTGAACCGTAGTTACAATTGTCCCTGCCCTAGAATTCTGGTTGTTCCAGCACACACCAGTCTCGTGATTGAAATCTAGGTGATTGGCAATTCATTTGCACTTACAACTGGTTTCCAAGTGCCCCATGTTAACATTACAACCTTTCCTGTTGGCTTCCCCAGAAAATAAATGGGGGAGACAGCAGGGAAGGTTGCAAGTTGCTGGAGTAAATCACTCACCCACCTGTATGCTTTCACCCAGCAACTCCATGCACATTTCTCAACTCTTGCCATGCCTCCTGCATACCCCTAGATATCCTCTCTGACCTGCACAGTCCCCCTCTGATCCACACAGTGCCTCTTACATACTTCCTCACATTTGATCAGCATGGCATCTCTTGCATACTCAATTGCACTCATGTAACCTCCCACACCACACCTCCCATGCATTTATTCAATCCTTGTCCAGCCTCCCTGCACTATACCTCTTGTGCACTCCATTGCAGACCCCCCCACCCCGACCTGTGATTTCTTCCATGCATTCAAATCTCTTCCTAACCTGCACTGTGCAGATGTGCTAATCAGATCCACTGGTTTCTGAAATTTTCTCTCTGCTAGGAGCACAGATTAGGGATGTCACCGCATATTATATCAAATCAACTGACAATTATTCCTTTCTGCTAATTCATAAGAGGGCAGATGATACCAGCAAAAATAGGCCCAGCCTGTTAATTTTGAAGAACTGAGAAGACAATTCAAGAAAAGAGAAACCAGCAATATGGCTATCACAAAAAAAAAGTATTCTAGGCAACAAGGAAGGCTTGAAGCCTAGAAACTTGGTTCTGAAGGGTTCAGGAGTGAAAGATGCTGAGCCTTAAAGAAGAAGAAACTGATAGCATTCTTCAGATACCTGAAAGGGTGTCATATAGCAAAGGCCAGAACCCGTTGTTTATAGTTTAAGATGGCACAGCATGAATTAATGGATTTAAATTATATGCTGGTATATTCCCATGTAATGTTAAGAAAAAATTGCTAACCTTTTGAGTAGAGGTGGTTGTTTCTATATATGTTCAAACTGAAGCTCAAAAGTTATTTGTTGTGGATATTTGAATTTGGAGTTCTGCACAAAACAGAAGGAAAGAAGCTCAATGATTCCTTCCAGCTTTGTGGATTTTAGTTTTGCTGCAGGAAAACAAAAGGAGATCAGAAGTTGGAGAGGGGATTAACACTGTAAAGTACAAAAATATGGAGTACAGTAGGATTTTTTTTTTCTGGCTATTTCATAGTATATAGTTGTTTTGATACCTACATAATGCCATTCAGAACAGCATTTGTAATATATAAAAAATACTGCATTCGATAAAGAATAGCAGTTTCTGGGACATTGGTTTGGAGAAATGCATTATCCTTAAATAATTTGATACCATAATTAATGGTTTATCCTAAATACATTATTATATTTTAACTATATTTTAAATTATGTTTTTAATATTATTATGTTTTTAAGAAGAGATTGGACAGCCATTTGCCCATAATGACATAGGATCTTCTGCTCCAACCAGGGGGTTGGACTGGAAAACCTCCAAGGTCCCTTCCAACTCTATTATTCTGTTATATTATAAATGCATCTTAAAAAGCTGGAACGATTCGGGCTACATGCCAGAATGCAATGCAGTTCTGAATTAATTTTTAAATAAAATACTTTGGGGGTCTTTATTTAAGTATAGGATATTACATTGATTTAGTGTACTGGATTGATTTGAAAGAAGGATGATTAATCGGCAAGCTTTCAGTTGAACTTTATTATTGGCTGATTTTCTAGGAAAGATTGTGTTGACAAAAGTCAATATTCTAAATGATTCTTGGGAAAAATGACTCATATTAAAACTTTGATCTCTATAACAATACAAAATGAATGAACTAAATGTTTATTAGATCCATTATTAAATGAATGAAATAAACAGTTGTTTAACGGTGTATTAAATAGAATATTCTATATATTTATATATATTACACACATGCATACACACACACACACTTTTTTTTCTTAAATCTGACTGGAAAAGCCATCCATTGTTACATAAGACAGCTTTAGCTAGATTGCTTACAGTTCTGTTTTTCATTAGCCAGAAACAGCTCTTGGAAACTTTTGCTGTTACATATTAACATATGTTTCACCAAAGTGAACACATCCAAGGGAATACTGTGTACAGATACCAAATTAAATTAACTGCATGGGTAAAAGAAGTAAGGTACAGGTAGTCCTTGATTTATAACAGTTGATTTAGTGACCAAAGTTACAGCGGCACTGAAAAAGGGGACTTATAACCAGTTTCACACTTACAACCATTGCAACATCCCCATGATCACATTATCAAAATTCAGATGCTTGGCAACTGGTTCATGTTTATGACAGTTGCAGTGTCCTGGGTCATATGATCACCTTCTGCAAACTTCTGACAAGCAAAGTCATTCGGAAAATCAGATTTACTTAACAACCCTGTTATTAACTTAAAAATTACAGTGATTCATTTAACAACTGTGGCAAGAAAGGTCATAAAATGGGACAAAATTCACTTAATGAATATCTCACTTAACAACAGAAATTTTTGTTTCCATGGTTGTCGTAAGTTAAGGACTACCTGTATAAAATTAAGGGAAAGAGCATAAACTTTTTTTCCTGAAATGTTTTGTCTCCTACAAAAATTACTAAAATAAGCCCAAAGGTTAAAGTCCAGATGGGAAACATCTAGTAATATAAAATAATATTGGACTGAAAGAGCAATTATATTTAGCTTTAATAAAAGGAAATCATTCATCTGTTTGCAGTTGTACATACCTATTTAGTAACATTTCCAGCAATGTGCAGAATGCTTATTTATGGGTTTACCTAGATATATTTTTTGGGTATTGCCATTCACAACATGCTTATCTTGCTCTCCAATGTAATATTTAAAGTATCATTCTTAAAGCTGTTTCTCTTTTACATAGTTGAATGTGATTTTAGCTACATTCATAGTGATATGGAGATTTTACTACTGAATAGAAAATTATTTTGGTACAGATAATTTTTCCATACGTTAACCGATGTAGAAAACATTTTCAATAGAAGGTAAACCTAAATTGTTTGTATTGAACATTTATGTATAATGAACATCTTGTTAAATTTAATCCTACATTTAAAAACCTTTTGTTCAATTGCCATTGCCAAAATGAGATTTTGAATCTTATCATTAGTTATAACTTATCATTATTATTGTATGATTGCTTAGATATTTCTGCTAGCTGCTAAAACTTCTCATGTGTTTTTGTAAAAATAATGCAGCTAGATAAATAGAAGTAATAATTTCAACTAGTTTTGAAACAGACTTATCTACCTATGCTTTAAGGGCTTCTGATCTCCAAAACAATGTGGCTACTCAGTGTTTGCAGCTTCATGGAGGATGGGGATATATGTGGGAGTACCCAATTGCAAAGTAAGTTACATTTTTTTTATTTTGTTAGTCATGCAGTTTAGTTGAACAAACTTAGCATAAATTTTTCAGGAATCTTTTACTTTTCCAGTCAGCTCATACAGTGTGAGCAACAAGCTCAGGTAGTATGTTCCCTTTATATACAACTTTATGGCCCCTTTGTTACTTTCCACTTTAATTTTATGTCCATTTTAATTTTATTTTATGTTAGTTATTTTAAGTAGTTGTTTAACATCTGTGTTATATTGATGTCCTATAATTAAATATTGTAGATTTCTTGGGATCAGTAGAATTTTGGGTCTTGTGATTAACATCATAAAATACCTGATGTGGGAAATGTGTCCATTTACAAAATTATTCCTGTAGTTAGTGTGATCAGTTATCGCATCCATTTTGCAAGAGGACAAACTGGTTGGATCACTTTGCAAATACAGATAACCCACAAACACATAGCATTTTCCCTGATTTTCTTTCCCAGCCTTAACATTTGACATAAAAGAGAGATTTTATATGTTTTATTATAATTTAAAAAGAAAGCTCAACTATTTAATGTTGTATGTGGTTTGATAAGTAACATACGTATTTTAAATATATGAAGAATTTCATGAAGATTTTCATACCACCTGTTTTAGCTTGACTTGTCATTTCTTTGATTTTCTCCACCATGTCTGATTGTAAGTCATCCCCAAAATGTTCTTTGTATTTTCACCATTAACTGCTTTGCTACAATTATTTTTCTTTCTTTTCTTCTCTACTTTTGGGTGAGCCAGAATTTCTCCATTTTGTCTTTTTGCTGAGCAGCAAATGTGAATCATACCTCTTTTTTCTCCATTTTGAGTTTTAATATACTTGTCATCCTTATTCTCAAGAAGCTTTGGGTCATATAGGTCTTAGAAACATTCTAGAAAACAAGATTGCAGAAAGTTAAAATTTGCATTTCATATTTTCTCAAAAGCTACCAATCAGCATTAACAAGGTAATTGTTAAGAGTATACCTTGGTAGGAAAAGATACATCCTGTGACAGATATTTCTATTTATTAGTATTGGTATGGCTAATTCATATGCTTCATTATCTTTCTTTTTCCAGATCTTTTGTGGATTCTCGTGTTCAGCCAATTTATGGCGGTACCAATGAAATAATGAAAGAACTCATTGCAAGAGATATTGTAAGCAACAATTAGATTGCAATGCCATTTTACCTGATGGAAAATTAAATTTCACAAAAACAAAATCCCAGTATATGATTAACTGAAGAAATGGGATAATCTTTTAAAAGTTTTAAAACAGTAATAACAAAAACTGTTTCTCAGGTTGACCTTTAATGTTCAGTATTAAACCATGTCTGTCTTTGATTATATAAATTCACACTGAACAATGCAAGACACTTTGTTGTATTTTTAATAATTCTCAAACTTCTGAACTAATGGAATGTGAATTTACTTCTAATATATTTTCTTTTTTCTTTTTAAATATTACATATAATCTTATAATAAAGGAAAATAAAATTTTCTGAACTGATACAAAATATAATTATAGGTCTATTGAGAAAGCCAAAAAATTTGCATTTACTTTTTCAGTACCCAGAATGTGTTGCTGATTCATAATCAGCTGGTGATCAACTACTATTCTAATATTTTTTTACAAGTACTATTACTAAACCAGATATCCTTGTGTACAATATCCACAGTTGATTTTTATTTCATAAGTGAAACACTTTTAATTAATTCCATCACTTTTATTCTATTAGGAACATTTTATATTTTTTCTTAGTGTTCTTAGTATTAGTTATCACATCCAATTTTTTCTTACAGCAATTTTAATAATTATATTAAATAATTAAGTGTAAGATTATGTATGAGGCAAAAAAAATCGTATTTACACTGATGGGATCCAAGAGGTCTGTACCAAGAAAAATGTATTGAAGCCATTTTCACAACTGTCCTGTCATTAGGAAAAGAACTGAAAATAAAATAGCCAAAATTCTAATCTTTGTACAAATGCATAATGTGGGTGAATATAGAATATTATGTACAGTTTTAGTGTCCAGATTTGAAAATAAGTTATAATAAAGGTAGAAAGTTTGGGGGAGGGAGGTCAGAATCTTTATATGAACATGCTAGAATGTTTGGTAGTCTGTAGTTGGACAGAGGACATTTCAATGATCTAAAAAAGCTGAATAAAAATAGAAGGCATTTTTAATGAAAGTTAAAGTTCTGTAGTGTATCTGATGAGATGTTAAAACTCATCATTCTTCAAAAAAAAACCCCAATAACAGAATTGGAAGGGACCTTAGAGGTCTTCTAGTCCAACCCCCTGCTCAAGCAGGAAAACCTATACCATTTCAGATAAATGGCTGTCCAATCTCTTCTTAAAAACCTTCAGTATTTTATACAGATAAAGTGTATAAAATTGTGCTAGGTTTAAGAAAAGTGGGCAGAAGTTTTTATCATTTGAAAACTGAAAGAAAAGAGGTCATCCAGTAAAGCTGATTGGAAGAAACCCAAAAGAACCCTCCCCAAAATTATAATTTGCATGTGTATTTAATTGCTCCCAAAGCATGGCAATAGCCAGTAACATAGTTGGCTTTAAAGGCGATAGGATAAACTCATGGAGTTTATGACAAGTAATCTTGAAAACAGTGCCACTTCCCCCTTGTAGGTGACATGCCTCCCAACAGATATTGGAAAGGAAAGTTTGTTCTTCCATTGTTTGGCATTTCAGTTGTTTAGGATTTCTCAAAGATAGTATATAGAGGCTCAGCCAGAACTTAAAACATTCTGGAATGCAATTTAGCCCTATAGTTTGGGCAATCCATCTGTTCTCTTCGCTTGTAACCTGATATTATTTCTATTTTGTGTATGAGCCCTTTTTATGTTCAGATTTTCATTAAGCTGTTTTGGATTTCCAATTGGCATCTTCTATTGTACCTTTCTCACCTCACTGAACTTTTAAACCTCCTTCATTAGGAACTATTGTGTATCTCATCTATCCTTTTTGTTTTTTTAGAGATGTCTGCAGAGATAATCTGCAAAGTCAAAAATAGCAAGTGCAACTGGGCAATTGAATGTGAAGTGCGCATACATAGCCTCAACATAACAAAGGATGCTTTAATCACCCAGTTTTGACCACCATTTTGATTTTGTTGACTGTCCTGTACATGTCTCTGGCCTTATTGCTTGAGGTTAATCAAATCTCATTTTTAAAAGTACAGCATATGATACTCAGTTTTAGATTCCCTCAAAATCAAGACCTCCAGGATTACTATCCTCCAAAAATACCCATTACTGCTACTTCCTCAACTAAGTCTTCTCTATTGATTGATATCAAACCAAATACAGCTCATTCTCTCTTGCTTTCCTCTGTGCTCTGAAGAAAGTAGCAAAGTTGGGAGCTTTTCATAAAAACACGCCTAATAGAGTTGTTTTCTGAAAATATGCCAGGATAGCTAAAACCATGCAGCAGAATTTCATGCCTCTTTGAAATGCACCATACACTCGCATTGGCACTTAAAAGACCACATTTAATGTGGCATTTTTTCCCCAGATTTTGTTCTGTTGCACTTTATTAATTTATTTTATTCTTTTTGTTAGTTTTATTGTTTTTTATTTTTTATTTTAAATATGGTTTTACATTCTGTAAATCGCCTCGAGTCACCATGGGCAAATAGGCAAAAAATATAAATTCAATAAATAAATAAATAAATAAGCTTTTATGGATATCACGATGGGTTTTTCAGATTTTCAAATGCCCCAGGACTATTTCAATGAAATTATGTTAGTCTGTTTCCTAATACTATTTCTAAAATTCTACAATTATTTTTTCTGTATCAGCAAAGAACTACCATGCCCCCTCTATTATATTAACTAGCTGGGATGCTATCTTTACTCTTAATAGGTTAAGGACACAGCACTCTACAAGAACATTATATCTAGAAATGGTGCTTGTAGAATCTGCATGCTCCGGAACAGCACATCGTTGTCAAAGCTGTTGATTAAAAAAAGTCGGTCGCGGAGTTTTCATCATAATTACCCTCCAGCCCTTTTGAAGGAGCCAGAAAAGCGATCAGTCAGTCAGTAGTATTTAAGTATGTTCTTACATTTGACACGATGGAAGAGGAATGGACCAACGCTGCTAACTCTACCTCGTGCTTTGGCTACGACGTTAAGTCGTGTTAAGTTAATGTCCGCTCAGTACCCCAATCCACGAATGCGCAACTCCAGCGCACAATGAAACCTACAAGGGAGTAGTCGGGCGAAGCGCCGGGCGGGACAAGGCTCCAGTTCAAAACTGTGTCCGAAGAGATCGGCTGCGTTCCCAGAATCCTGAAGACCCCGCCGCAGGGTGCTTTGCATAGGGCCGCCCTTCTTGGCTTTCCATTGGTTGGCTGAGGCGGCCGAGTCCGAGCAGAGCCCTCGGTTGCCCCGCCCAAGCTCCCGCCCGCTCCCGCTTGTTTGCTGCTGAGGCAACTTACTTGGATCGGAGCGCCTGTTGGGGGAAAGCGAGAACTGAGTGAAGTCGCCAAGTTGGATGGGAGGGCACCGCCGCTTTTGTTTTTGGGGAAGTGAACTGGAGTCTCTGCGAAAGTTGAGGCAACCGGAGGAAGAGAAGCAGCCCGTGAACGGACAGGCGGAGTTGGCAGGCAAGTCGGTGCTTTGGGAGAGGTGGGGGCTGTTGCTTTTCACGGTTGCCTCGGGAATTTGAGAAGAGACGGTTGATTCCGGGCGGCGTTCTCCTTTCCTCCCGCCTTCGCTGGGACGCGCGAGGGCAAGCGCAAACGACCCCCGGGCAGCCGCAGAGTTCTGAGCAGCGCCGTAACGGCACTGAAGCGGGGAGAGGACGGAGGCGGTAGGGATGCGGGCGACGGGAGGCGGGATTGGGGAGGACGCCGGGGGAGGGGGGGAGGGCGTGGCGGCGCCCAAGGAATGTAGGGGGGAGGGGCCCGATGAGGGGGGAGGAGGAGGAGGAGGAGGAGAAGGGCTGCAGCCTCGCGCCCGGGGTTGGGACGGAGGCGGGGCGGAAAAAGTGCCGTGATTCGGGGGCGCGAGGAAGGGGGCCGTTTTTTGTTGTTTTGTTTTACAGAGAGGCAGAAGGAGAGGCGGGGGACAGCCAAGAGTGCGCCTCAGGTTTGGGAAGCAGCGTTAGAGGTTTCCTAGTTTAGAAGAGTCTGCGGAGCGGGTTGTGGGGGGTTAGGGTTAGGGTATCAGGCCTGATTCAGCTCTATCTTGGCTACGGGGAAGAGAGAAACTTAAAAATTTCAGGTGATGGTCGGCTGAGGCTTATCTCCATTTGACTGAAGTTATCGGTCTTCATAAGTAGCAACGTGGAATGTATAAAAGTGGGTGTTTTGCTGCTGTTTGAAAATAGATTAAGCGTATTCTTAAACGCAGCCTAATTAAAGAACTACCCACCAGCTTTTCAGCTAACAAAATACTTGCATATAATATGCTGTCCCTGTATGTAATCCCTATCCTACCTTATGCACGTTTTCCCTCATTTATGGACAGGAATTGGTGGATTCCTCCCAGCTTTGTTCCTCTCCACCAAATATCACCAACTAGTTGGAAAATATCCTGCTTCCCATCTCCTTGGTGTGAGATTGAGCTGGGGTTGGCAGGGGAGATATGGATTGAAAGATGGCTAAATTGGTTGATTAACCAACTGTTAAAACTCCTCCGGATTTGTTCAAGTAGGTTAGGTTGAAAGGCTCCCAGATCTGGAGGAGTTTTAACCCTTGGTTATATGAACCAATTTAGTTAGGATCCTTTTGGTTGCTGATTTAGTGTGGATAGAGAGTTGCTGCCCCATGAAGCAGCAAGAAGACTACTCTCCTTATTCACTGTGTGTAAGTCTCTCTGTCACCATTGCTGACCAGCTTCTATTTGGACCAGTCTAGCCCTCCAAACTGGGTCCCTGTGGATATAGGGGGAGAACCCGGTCCTAGTGTTCAAACAGTGGCTTTGGAAAACAACACCAAGGATCAAAACAGAGGGCACTTCTGAACCAACCTTATTGACTAACAAGTACTGATCTCAGCTCCCAAATATCACAGGACTTGCCACTAACAATGATTGATGAAGTATACCAGAATACGAGTCAAACTAATATCAAGGTACAGGGGGAAAGGCTACTTTTAACACTGTTGTAACTAAGGATGATTAAGGAGATGCAGGCATAGAGTGGGAGTCAGATGAAAACAATGTCATGAAGACAAAAACAGAAAAAAGGTTGCTGTTGCATATAAGGGGCATGGATGTAGCATACATGTAGCCTGTGGATATTCTAAAAATGACAACTCATACTTAGTTTAAACTAGATAACCTATGACATGTTGGGTTATTATTTCAGAGATATTTTCTTATATAAACAGAGAAACAGAATGA